ATAGCTGCATCATGTGTACTTTCTGTGATCACTGACTTCATGCAATAACTATTTACCAAGCACTCACTGTGTGACTTTCAAAATGGTTGATGATGGGTAAGACCCGAGTGTGGCACAGGCACCAGCTAAGGTACTGGAGTGGGGCTCTGACAAGAGGGCTTGGCTGAGCTAGGCACAACTCCTCTTCTTGTTAGATTGTGAGACTGTGAGACAGTCCTGGGTTTTGTGGGCAGTGGCCAAGGTAGCTGGGGACAGACAGGGCACTTTGGAGTCTTCAGCCATGGTCCTTGTGGTATAAAAGTCTTTCAACAGTTTAATAACTGGCAGGGCCATACCAGGAAAAGCCAGATAAATGTGAATCCTTCATGTAGTAATGTGCACAATGGCAGGAGGGTATTTACCTCAGGGGACCCACAGTACAATACAGAATATACCTAGGAACGTACAACTAAACACACAAAGGTAAGATCAAGTTCAAATAAAAATTACTAAGTATGAAACCATGGCTGCAGAGGACTTCCAGGAAGATGGTAGAAGCAGTGAGCAGTGGAAAATCAGCCTCTCGGAGATTAAGAGTCCAAACACTGGAATTTAGCAAATGGGCAAAGAGAAGGAGGGAAATGGATCCTCAAGACCCAGGTAAGTTCTGAAGGGTGAATTGGATTCCGTGGGGACAGCTAGGTGACAGACTTCAAGGTAGAAGAGAGAGGTGGTAAACTGTGCATTTCTTCTGACTCCTGGCTTGCGGAATGAAGGGAGGCTAGAGCCTACAGAGGAGCAGTGAGGATGGGGGACCCTGGAGGCCTCCAGGAAGAAATGCACCAGAGGAGCAAAACAGTGGATACTGTGGGCTGCAGTATTCCAAATGTCCTCACAAGAGGTTGATTGACTGGATGCTGTTTTGGGGTGGGGTCAGCTGAACCGAAGACTCAGAGCAGCCATAGATTGACTCTATCTCAAAGCTGCTAATACCTGGGTGAGGCACATCCCTGAGAGAATCCAGGCTTAGGGAGCCAAGATCAAGCTGGCAAGAAATGCTCATAGTGTTTTGGGATGAATAACTGGGGTCACAGACCCAAAGCCCGAGGCCATGATTAGCCTGAATTCTACAGAGTTGAACTGGCACCCCACCCTATTGCTACTACAGGCTTGTGGGGATTATACAGCACCCACACTCCACCCTAATCCTACTGCAGGCTTGCAGGAATCATACAATACAGATCTGGGCCCTGCCTATCTTCTGTGTCTACCAGTGACAACAGAGACATGCTATGAAGTTAACACTACCACAAAATTGTACACCTTGGAAGATAACCACAGGCTTGAAATCACAAAGAAATGTCTCTCTTTTTGTTTGTCTTTTTATTTCTTTTTTTAAAATTGTATATTCTTGTTTTTTCATGAGTGAACATTGTTTTCAGTTTTTGGTTCTGTTTAGCTCTTGTTCTTGTTTCCTCCTTCTTTGTTTCTTCTTCACCAGTCTCTAAAAACTTAGGTAATCTTCCTTCCTCCTTCAACCTTGCTTATAATCACTTTTTTCTCTTTTATTCTCTATCCTTTTCCTCCTTTTAAATTTTCTCTCCAGAGGGTAAAATCACTCAATTGAGGAGATATTTATTGTATATAAATTAATTGGGTTGTTATATAACTATAAATCTTGTTCATATGGTTAAAGGTAGCAAATTAATAATCACCACAGTTTGTCATTTTCTAGGCTGCATTAGATCCTATTGTTATTACTGATTTACTACTTTAGCCAAGGTGACATAGTTGCTCTGATCAGTTGTTCTTCCTTGTATGCCAAGACCAAGATTCTCTGAGGGTCATAAACAATACTACAGCTCAGTACCTGAGAAAGAGGAGCTAGGCCAAATAGGCAGCAACTTTTCATCCCTAATAACTTGAAGAGGTAGGATCTTGAGACAGACTCAAAAGCCAAAATCCAGCTACACCTAAAAGACATTTCTGAAAAATAATCACTTCGTAAGAAGTCCTCAATACTAGTTATAAAGCTACTTGCCATAAGCAATTTACAAGCATCGATGAAGAAAATAAATTTTTTTGAAAATAGAAAATCAGAAGGCATGGAACCAAGATGCAACCCCAGACCTCCAGCTTGTCCAAGGCAAACCCAGGGACCTTTATCACCTGAATTCTCTTACATGGTAACATCGGAAGTAACAAAGCAGATGAATAAAACTCTAGGGAAAAAAAATCAGAAATAATTTTTCAGATACCTAAAGAGATGATGACCATAATAAATAACATGGTTGGTGAATCTAAAATAGATACAGATTAAAAAAGTAGAGGAGCTTAGGAAAATGATGGAAACCATGAATGCTCAACATAGGAAAGAAATGTGTGTCATGAAACATATTCAAACAGATACCCAGGAAATTAAAAATTCTATTGAAACTACACAGCAGAATAAACCAATGTGAGGACAGAATATCAGATCTAGTAGACAGGTTTATTGTTCACAATCATGAAAAGATGGATTTCTTTTTCTTTTTTCAAATTATTCAACTGTTTATCATGCATAAGACCACATGACTATAATACAAAGGGGGGTTTCTTTTTTCATTTAATGTGACAATATACATAGCAAGTCCAAACTAGAACTTACAATCTGAACACAAGTATTTAACCTTTTCCATGCTGTTTATGTTTACAATATGTTTACAGAAGTCCTGTAACCAAACTGTGTAGTAAAGCACACGAAACTAGACTGTAACATAACACAGTATGCAGAAGCACTCAATTTTATGATTTTCCTTATGTAAATATCAGTATAAAAATTGCTTTAGTTTTTTGGTGCTTGCTCAGATGTGGCAACCAGCACTGAAAAGAAAAATGACCTGACCCATATAGTATTTTATGTTCCATATTCCTAAACAGCAGTAACTACTGAATCCCTTTTAATATTGGTATACTCATGATGAAACCCCGTTATTCACTGTAAACCTTTATGAACTACCAAGATCAAAAAAGTCATCCACAGGCTTGACATTTAATTACAAAATAAATATGGATCTCCTCATTAACAAAAGAAATTGTGATTTATAAAAACAGTTATTTAACAGAAAAATAATATGAGAATAAGTCAAGCATAAGTCAATACATATCATTTATAACCATCAATGTAATGTAAATGGTCTAAATTCACCAATCAAAAGAAACAGACTGGAAGAATGGATCAAGTAACAAGATCCAACAATATGCTGCATATAGGAAACACATTTAACCCAAAAAGAAACTCATAGACTAAAAGTCAAAGGACAGAAAATAATAGTGTATGCAACAGGAACCCAGAAAAAAGCAAGGGTAACTAATCTATTTGTGGACAAAGTGGATTTTAAGCCAAGACTGATCAAGAGAGACAAAGAAGCTTACTACATCTTTGTAAAGGGAACAATCCAAGAGGAAGAGATAACAATCATAAATATATATGCACCAAATAGCAGAGTAACCGATTATACCACACAAATATTAGTGGACATGAAAAATCAGATAGCATCAATACGGTTGTAATGGAGGACAATAGCCAGAGTGACAAGAGAGAAAAATAAAAGGAATAAAGCTAGAAAAGAGAGAAGTTAAATTACTATTATTTTTGGAATGACACAATATTCTACATAAAAGCCCACAAGAGTTCCACCAAAAGATTTCTTGATTTGATAACCAAATTATGTTGCATAGCAGGTACCAAGTCAACACTAAAAAATCAGTAACATTCTTGTACACAAATAACAAACTCACTAAGATAGAAATTAGAGAAACAACGCCTTTCATAATATTATCAAAAAGAATGAAATACTTTAGAATCAATCCAAGGAAAGAAGTAAAAGACCTTTACATTGAAAACTACAGTACTCTGAAAAAGTCAATCAAAGAGGATATCAGAAAATGGAAAGATATCCCTTGTTCTTGAGTAAGAAGAACCAACTTAATGAAAATGACCATAACCTAATGAAAATGGCTGTACTCCCAAAATTGTTATACAGATTTAATGCAGTCCTGAGCAAAATACCAATAGCACATCTTATATGACTAGGGGAAGTAATCCTAAAATTGATTTTGAACCAGAAGAGACCTAGAGTAGAAAAAGCAATTCTGGACAACAAAGGCAAAACAGGGGGCATCACAATCCCTGACTTAAAATTAAACTCCAAAGTTTCCAGAGATGCAAACAACATGGTACTAGAGGGGAAAAAAGACCTAAAGATCAATAGAATAGATTAGAAGAGACAGAAACAACTCTGAACACACTTAGCACCCCTCTTTCTCAAAGAGGTCAAATGTCTTCACTGAGAAAAAGACAGCCACTTTAATAAATGGAAAAACTGGCTTTCCGTATGTCAAAGATTGGAACTAGACTCATATCTCCTACCATGCACTAAACTAAAATAAAAATGGATCAAAGATCCAAATATTAAAATAGCAACACTAAATCTGCTGGAACAAAGAGTAGTAGGTATAACTTGAAGGCCTAGGTGTAGGAAAAGACTTTATGAACAAAACTCTGATCACACAGGAAATATTTCAAAGATTCAACGACTGGGATCTCATCTTATTAAAAAGCTTTTGCACAACAATGAAATCACCAACAGAGTGAAGAGACAACCCAGAGTAGGAAAAAAAAATTGCCAGCTGTTCTTCAGACAAATGACTAATATCTAGAATATATAAAGAACTCAAAAAAATCAGACCCCCCCAAATTTGAAGACCCAATAAAAAATGGGCATCTGAAATGAATAGACACTTTTCAGTAAGGAGCAGAAACAGCAAATAAATACATGAAAATATGTTCAATATCATTGGTCATTTGAGAGATGCAAATTAAGCAGCACTGAGATTGGATCTCACTAAAAAAAAAAAAAATGAGAGATGCAAATTAAGCAGCACTGAGATTGATCCTCACAAAAAAAAAAAAAACCTATTATCAAGAAATCAACCAGTAACAAATTCTGGTGAAGCTGTGGAGGAAAAGGAACAATTCTCCTCTGCTGGTAGGAGTATAGACTGGTGCAACTGATGTGGAAATCAATGTTGAGATTCCTCGAAAAGCTAAAACTAGTGGTTCTATTTGACTCAGTTATCCTCTTCTTGGCATCCTCCTGAAAGAATTAAAAGCATCATATCATCGCAATATATTCACATCCAAATGATGAATGTAACTGTATTGTATACCTAAAATGTAGCAATAAACTTAATGGGAAAAACATACATGCATATCCATATTTATTGCAGCACAGTTTGCAATAGCTAAATCTTGGAAACAGCCTAAATGCACATCAACAGATGAATAGATTAAGAAGTTGTGGGGTTTTATACAATAGAATACTACTTTGCCATAAAGAAAGATAAAGGAGAAATTTCCAGCTAAATGAATGCACCTTGAGTCTATATTCTTAAGTGAAATAAATCAGACCCACCGTCTTTATATATTGTGTTTTTCTGTGCTGTGGTAAATCAAAAGGATAAATAAGGACCAAAATATTTCATACATATTATAAGTTGGAAGAAAATGTACAAATGAGAAGGGGAATAGGGGAGGGGGAGGGAGAAAGGAAGGAAAGAAAAGAATAGAAGGAAAAATGGAAATAATGTTTTTGTAAATAAGGAAGAAAGAGGAATTGAAGGGAGAGGATAAGATGAGGGAAAAAAAAGAATCCAGATATATTATGTACAGGTATAAATTCTCTATGATAAATATTATAATTCTGTATATCTAAAATGTACTGATTTTAAGAAAAAAAATGTCTGTAAAAAATATTGCAAAGAAGATCAACATCTTGCAAAAACTATGCTGAGTGCTTCTTGGAAAATGGCTCAACCTAGAGGACGAGGCTGGTAGATACATCACTGGTCAACACCAAGGATCATTGTGATGCACAGTGTGCTACCCAGGGTTCTGGTCTCTATGCAGTATGTTATTCAGAGTGCTGATCTCTCATCCTGGAAGAAAGGGTTTCCTTCCACAAAATGGGGCTCTGACAGGCTTCTCGCATGGATAAAAATAAAGTGGTAAAGCAACAGAGAAAAAGCACATACTGGTTAAAAACTGATACGTTATCAACTATTTCCTTAATGAACTATAATTGTTTTAGCACTCAGCTAAGAGCCAAGTGCCTGAGCAAACACTGCCTATTTGATGCTCAGAACTCTGAGAGGTAGGCATTACTGTGACCTCCACTGTACAAATGACACTGATCCCCAGAGATTCCATGTGCCTACAATTTGATCCAGGCCTTTCTGACTCCTGTACTTTTACACTTAACCCAATACTCACTGCATTTGAACATGTCGTGAGCTGCATAATGACTGGTTCCATAGCTTCGTGTCATTTTCCTCATATCATTGGTTCCATGATAGGCCTTCAAAGCTTACTAAGATTGCCATCTTGCTGAGAAGAAACACCCTGTAATGAAGAAAGGAATCCTACACTCGTACATGCACTTTTTGCAACTAAATAAACACAGTATGACACGAGCTTTGGGGCTACACAATACAGATGTTTATACATTTTTTTCTCTATGAAAGAGGAGTGCTTTTCTATATTTAATATGTCTGTCTCAGTGTTTCTATTAAAATAGTGATAACAAGTTGATAACAAACATTACTGACTGTGCTGACTTGTTATGTGCTTTAAATATGTTAAATGAATTAGTCCTAAAAGCAAGCTGATTAGAAATCTGGCAGTATTAGCCGCACTTTACAGACAGCAAAATTGAGACTGATACAGGTCAAGAAAAAATCCCAGGATTACAAGTGGGAACCCAGAGAAAACAAATAACCTGGCAATGATAAAACAAAGTAATACTAAAGATCAGTAATACTAAATCTATATGAAACCAGAGATCTGTTCCGAAATGGAAAACCAAACCCCATGCTGATGAAAGACACGGTGCATTAAACCTCTCCCTGAAGTACCAGGAGCCTGACTGGAAAATAGTTTAGTTTCCCAGAGCCAGGCTATATGGGCAAACTCATCCTACTTGTTGGAGTTGTTTTGATATTAAAATGTGAAAGTTCTTAAAATAAGAAGAGGGTTAGGGACTCCGAGGCATGTTAAAATAATTTGTGGCAAAATCAAGAAAGTTAAATATTCATCAAGAGGCCTTCAGTTCAAATGATAGTTTTACCATATCAAGGTCTACTTTGGGGAGCTGGAAGAAGGGGAAGAAACTCTACTCAACCCTCTTTCTGAATCGCCACAGAGAATGCAGGAGAGGGCTCAGGGTTCATCCTGCTCCTGTGTGAGCTGGGTCTGTAGATACTGCATCCTGGTAGGTTTTCCTGTATGCTCATCTGCCACTGGGACCAGGCTGGCTTGGCCAGGGATCTACATCCAGCCTCCCTGGCTCCAGCGCTTACTTTGGGAACCCATGCAATCATTATCTTGATTTTGGAGCACTTTCTCTTGGATTTTATCTTCATTATTTTACCTCTCAACACAAAGAACAAATGTTGGACTCCAAAAGCAGAGGAAACATCTGAAATGCAACTCAGAAAACTCCCATAAATGATGCCCAGGTTCAAATATAAGTTATCATTTCCCAAATGTCAGGAGGGAGTGCATGTCCAGAGAATAATGTGGAATGATAGCCTCCTCTCTGGCTCCCACATCTTCCCTGACTGTAGGAGATGCTGCACTTCTCTGCACAGGGGGCCAGGATCCCCTCTGTTAGCACTAATACTCTCACCCCCTGTCTTCAGAACAGACTTTCTGCTAGTCTCCTGGGAGGATACTTAACATGCTCACAGGCCTGCCTCCCTCCTGTTCACTCATACATATGTTCAAACATGAACTCTTCAGTGCTTAAGTCACCCATGTGCCAGGAATGCATGGAGCTAGAGAGGACACATTAGAAAATGGGCTGACAAAATATTGGGTGGCAGACTGATTTGTTATTTCATACTAATTGCATCTTCACACCTCATCCAGCAGAAGGCTTATCAGGACTATTTCTATACTAGCGCTCAGGAGTATACACTGGATGACCAGTTTCACTGAGGGAGAGCATTTGCAGAAAAGTTTCTGGGCGGGGAGGGGAAGACAGAGAGAGAGAGAGAGAGAGAGAGAGAGAGAGAGAGAGAGAGAGAGAGAGAGAGAGAGAGAGCGAGACAAAGAGAGAGAGAGAGACTCAGCAGCACAACAACAGGCCAGGAGAGGCCAGACTTAACATGGTGTAGGAAAAGTGACCTGGGAGGAAGCACTACCATGTGAAAGGTACTGCTACCCAGTGCAAGATGAGAAAAAGGAAAATGAAGAGGAACTGAGGAAAATTAGGAGGGAAAACCCATGTCTCTAGAAAGTTGCTGTGGGTAAGCTACATTTCTCCTTCCATCAGAAGAAGCCCCAGCTAAGGAGGATTTACAGGGTTTCCCAAGGTGCCATGCTGGGCACTGTATCTGTACACACCAAGAGGGTGTGCTCCCCACTTTCAGCATGATCACCATGAAGGGAGCCAGAAGTACAAGTACTTCTGGTGACTACAGAAGAAGGGATCCACTGAAGACCTCTCTTCCGGAAGGTTTTGCAATCATCTCCTCATTTTCTGCCTTGCATCAGACTCTCCCTACTTCCCTCTTTGTCCTCTCCTCTAATTCAACCTCCACACCTTTGCCAGGGTCCTTTATAAAATAACTGTTTTTTATTTTTAAAAAAATCCACCTAAGGTTATTTATAAATTACCTTCTTGGAAAACTACCTGAAAGAGTCATTCCCAATCTTCAAGAGCCACCAAGGTCTGTTTTCCTAGCCTTGAATCTACCAAATCAGAATTTCTGGGGATGGGACTTTGGAATCTGCACAGTTAACACATTTTAGAGTAATTTATGCATACTCTGGTTTCAAAAGGAACTGATGGATAGCAAGGTTAATTGATGGGATAAATGCCCTTTATGACATATTCTAGCCTCCCCTCCTAGTCTCAACTGAAATGATTCTAATACATCTAGCTTTATACTATAGTACCAAAAATACATTCCCAGGTTAGGTAAGGCATGTCCACTCTCTCATGCCCTTTGTCATGGAAATCCTTCAATATAGGATTCCTGTCCTCTTCTCTCCAGCTCAGATCCCTATGTATGCACAATAAGCACACACACACACACACACACACACACACACACACACGCTATCCACTTGCATCCATCCCTTAACTAGCAGAACAGCTATCACTATTTTACTATCTCTAGGACCCTTCACCTGAGGTGAGCCTGGTGGTCTCCAACGATAATCTCAGGTATCTTGACGTGAAGTAAACATCCCCAGGGTAATGTTTTAAGACGGCACCCAGTAAGGTTCATGATGCTGACAAAGAAGGATGTGATAATTTAAACTCAAACACTAGTGGTTACAAACGATGATGATAATGAAAACACCAAATACTTATTGAGTATTAACCACATTACCAGGTGCTATGTTAGGTGCTTGATATGTGTGTTCCTGTCATTGCGATGAACTTTCAGGTAGCCACCTTCATACCAATGTTTCAGAAAAGGGCACAGACTGCTATTCTCACTGTGTTTCCATAGCATTATGTATATTACATTTTGTCTCACAATCCCACTGTATTATGCTATTGAACTTGTGTTTAGTGGCCAAACTCCCTATACAAACACATAAGGTTTTCAGGGTGTGGTGTTAGGACTTAGGCCTAAAATGTCCCCCAAAAGCCTCATGTGTTTGAAAAGTGATTGGATGGCGGGGGCACTATACTTACTACAGGATTCATCTATTGATGAGTTCAGCAGTTGAATCTGCTGTTAGGAAGTGGGACTGGTCGGAGGTGTGACCTGGAAGGGTGTTTTCTTGAACCTGACTCTCTCTGCTACCTGACTGCCGCTAGTTGAAAAGCTTTCCTCTGCCATGCCCTTTCACTGTGTCATTTCTTTCGTAAAGCCAGCCAACCAGGGACTGAAATCATGAGCTAGAATGAATCTTCTAGGTTGTTAGGGTCACGTATGTTGCCCCGATAGTGGGGGAGTGACTAAGACAGCCAGAAACAGATGTTCCTTTCTTTTCTCTTCCCACCCATACTTCATCTTTGAGAAAAAACACATTGCGATATAAGAGGATGAAGTAGCTGAGGCCACTTCAGCAACCAGGAATTTAGCAATGTGTCCACCAAGTTTGCATTGCCAGTTTCGTACAAATATTTATGTGAGTAAGTATGAGCGATGCCTCGTCTTTAAAGTTAATGTGTGACTAGACATAAAATACAGCACTGTATTTTATTGCAAATTGCACTGTATATCATTGCCATACTTGTTAAGTTCTTTGATAGTACGCATACACTTGGGTTAAGGAAGCATCACGTGGATCTTCAACATAGACTGACAGTATTCTGACTCTATACAGATTTACTTTATGCTTAGAGCCAAAGAACTTATTTCAGTATAAATGCAGGTGTGTATTCAGTTTCTCAATTTTCAGTTTTTATAGAAATTGGTTACTGTGCTTCACACATTTGTTGCCATTGTTAATTTGCCTGACAAGCACACTCTGCTGGTGCCTCTCTGTTAAAGCAATGCAAAGTTTAGTATGCAAGCTTTATCATGCCTGGCAGCTAACAACTGCCCAATAAACATTCATCAAATTAATAGTGAATGGGAAGTCACTAGACCTAAAAGAAGAGTCGGCAAACTATAGTCCAGGGGTCAAATCTGAGTCACTTCTAGTTATATAAGAAGAAAACTAGTGTGTGGGACAGATAGGTTCATTTGTTTGCTTTGTGTTGAATAGTTATGACAGAGTGCACATGGCCTGCCAGCCTAAAGCTTTTATTATCTTGCCCTTTTCAGAAAAAGAATGCCAACTTTTCAATAAATAGAGGATGGCCAGGATGCACTCGCTCCAAGGAAACCTGTGCGAATGGCATCTCCTCTGCTCCGCTATGGACAGGACCAGAGGTGGGGTGGCTAGTGACAAAGCAGAATTCTTTCAGGAGGAAGCCTGGTTGGTCAGGTCTCTTGTCAAAGGTCACGATGTGAGGGGCAGTCCCGGCAGCTGACAGACTTTTCTGAATCTCTTTGTATTATCCAGCTTCCTCCTGCTTCCCAGGGGCTTAGGTTAAATCTTTTTCTGAATGTTAAGGCTTTCCTTGCCTTTGTTTTCAATAACAGGAATTTACTGAGTGCCAATAAAATAGGGACTCAGCCCAGGTGGACTGTAAAGATGATTGTGACAATCCAGCAGGTGTCTGGACCATAGCAAAGGGCTTCTCACATGCAGCTATTCTAACTCCCCTCTTCTTAAAATGAAGAATCCCTAACTCCTGAGCTAAACTGGCCAGTTATTCAGTGTGCTGCAGAGTGAAAATTCTGGAATGTTAGAAAATGCCTGAGCAACATTTGTTTCCAATTTCTGTTGTTCTTTCTCCCATTAAGAAGGACATTCTTCTTACAAAGAATTCGTGTCAATATGTTTTCATAACACCAATGTATAAAGTAATTTGGAGAAATCCAAAACTACTTTCTAACTACTTAAACATGGAACTCATTTTTACTGCATATCATAGCACACATAGAACATCAAGGTGTCATAAAAACCAAATCCTAAAATCTACATTATTGTGGAAAAAAAAACAAACAAAACAAGAAAGCATTGCAAACAATGCAGCACCATATCAGTCTTCTGGTAGCCAACAAGACCTAGCAATTAATGAATCATAGTTTTGTGGCAAATGGTAGGTTTTTGTTTTTGGTCATTCAGCATGATGCTTTTATTATTATATAAAACTGAATGACAGACTTTTACTAAAATACTATACAATCCTAAAAGCCAATCATATGTAGAAGCAAAAGATTAGAGGATGATTGGCCTTGGGAGTGAAACAATGCCATTTAATGAATACACATTTATTTCTAAAAGCTATATTGGGAACATTTCAAAAATGCAGTGAGAAAATATTTTAAGCAAGCACATATGTTTCAATTCAGACTTGTACGACAGTTAAAATAGGGAGTTGTTTTCCTTGCAAAAATATTTCTTTGTGACAAGGTTTACTAGATTTCTTGTTTAAAAAAAAATGAGAAACCCCGATACATTTACTACTTTATTCATAAAATTTTTATTTACTTTCAACTTTTTAGAATACTTTGTTCAGTAAGAGGGTGTGCCTTAAAAATCAAATCTTCTAAATTCACAGTTCCAGGGAAAGGGTAAAGAAAGTCTCAATTCAAGAGATTAAAAAAAACTAAGGAAAAAATGCATATATATGGCATGTTTTGGGCAGCTCTTGTTGCAAGAAGAAATTTTTGAGTCTCTGGTGTGGTGACTTTCAAAATGAACATCTATGCCTTACTCTTGATGAGGAAAATATCAGATAACATAGATTAAGTAGATTTTATTAATTGGAGAACATCACATATTTATTAGGCAATGTTAACAGACAACATCATTAAAATATTAAGGAAAAAATTACTAAATGGGCCTGCAGAGCCTATGAAATTATTCTGCAAAGAGTTGTTCCATTTGTTGTTCCTGGGGCTAATCCTAGCCTCAGATCAAATGCCGACCATTTTCTAAATGGAATATAAATGGAGAGGAATGTAGCAGTATCCATGAAAATCAAAATGATCCCACCTTTGTACATGGACATAAAACTTTTAGACCTTATCATAAGGTTATACTCACATAGATCCATCATTTACATTTTTCTCCTGGTCATCTTAATGAGTATAAAAGTATTAACCATGCTGTTACTTTAATAGCTTACCTTAAGAACATCAGTGATCTTTAATAAACTTATAAACGCATTTTACTTATTAATGATTGGTTAAATCATATGTATTCAAACAACAGAATGCTCTGCAGCTTTTAAAAATAATATAACAGTCTATAAACTTACTAAGGATAGCCTTCTGATACCAGAAGGTGAAAAATGTAGAAAGGAAAAAAGTATTTATATACATGTAAGTGTGCGCATGTGTGCATGCCTAGAACATACCCGAAAGAATTATGTAAGTGCTAAGAAATGTGGGACCAGGAACTAGGAAACTGAGCCAGTATGTGGAAGACTTGTATTTTATCCTATCCATTTTGTTCACTTGGAATTTTGGTTCATAAACACTCAGAATAATTTCCTGTAAATAAAGCTGGTAAATGTGATTTCCATATCATAGCTCCCAGTTACTTTAATGGTTATTAGTGTCTGGAACATTCAGAAAAATCCACAACCAATAAAAAATTCTATTAGACCTTCTCCTTCAGAAAATATAAAACATAACATTTCTTATGTCTGGAAAGCTGACTTTTTTGGAACAGTTAAGCTTCCAAATTAGATTTTTCACTTCAAATGGGCACTTAAGAATTTTCAGATTATAACGGAGACGAAAATAAATGGAAAAAATTTTGTCAAGGTTCTCACTAGTTCCATGCTGTAAGGGGACATCAGAGAAAAGTAGCTCTCCTCAACCTGCCAAGATGACTATAGTGCGAAATGCAAGAGGGAAATAAAACAACCCAAACAGATCTGTGTAATCCTGGTTAGGACTCAGTTCTCTCTGGGACCAGAGCAAGACCATGACAAGACTATGACAAAAATAGTGCATTGTCCATTTTCCCCAGCCTTGGAAATATGCCAGCACTTCAGTTAGTGGCCACTGGAATGAGAAGCAGAAGGTGAAAACAGGCCAAGTGGGAGGTGAGAATATGAGCATCAGAGGGGTAGGGAGCAGAGGACAACAAAGCAGGAAAATCAAGGCTCTCAGTCATGGCATTTGGACCCGATCTACTGGGTCTTGTGTGAAGAAAGGTACTGAAATCCAGAGGCAGTGATGAAATGCAGGTGTCTGGACCTGGCCTGCTCTGAGACCATGGTGGAGAAAGGTGTTCGTCTCGTTTACATTAGGATCTCATTAGATATAGCTGAGTTCCTCCCACTGGGAGGAACAGGTTGGAAAACACTGGGTGAAGTTCAGCTAAGTGTGTGAAAATCTGGCCTGACTGCTGAAGCACCACAGAGTGTCAGTCTTGGAAGATGTGGGAGATAGGTGAGGCTGGACTTGTTGAGCAACAGTAAAAGAGCTCACCCAGATACACAAGACCAAGGCAAGAGCAAGACTAAGTCCAGACCCCAATCACTAAGAGAAATGTGTAGTTTCTAAGATGACCCATAATTCTATATTTTTTACATATAAGTTTCATGTAGACACTGCATTCTAATTGTCCCATGCATATCTGCCCCCCCCCGGCTAGACTGTATGTCTTTTCAGGACAGGCTTACATTGATCTCACCTACCATTTAATCTCAGAACCTACATCTGTATCTGAAATATGACAGCATCCAAGAACATGTTTAATAAACT